CTTGCACTCACTTTGGAGCCCATGCTGTCCTAGAACTCGAAGTAATCTTCCTGTCTCAGCCTCCTGAATGTGGGGACTAGGGCATGTGCCACCACACCCAGCTATACTGTATGATCTTCACAGAAAATGTTTGCTGATCTCTGTTCTTGACAGTGTCCAGTACTAACATTGAGAGGATATGCAGTAATTTCTTTACATGTCTGTAAGTGTTGGATAATGTTTTCCAATAGAGAGAGACGCATTCCTCTCATAGAGGTTACATTCTATATGGGGCTGGGGAACAGACAATAAATAAAAATATGCAAATAAATAGATAATTGAAGTAATGCTATCTGAAAATAAGACAATATAATAGAGTGATGGGGACCCAATTGAATTGGGTGGCCAAGGAAGGCTTTACTAGGGAGATACAAGTGAGTTAAACCTGATGATAGAAAAGAGTCAGACGAACAAGGCATGGTGGTACACACCTGTGATCCCAGCACTCTGGGAGGCTGAGGCAGAAGGATCACAAGTTGAGCCCAGACTGGACAACTTAGTGACTTAGTGAGACCCACTCTCAAAATACAAAAATAAAGGGCTGGGAATGTACCTCAGTGTGAAGGCCCTGGGTTTAGTTTCCAGTATGGTGGGGGGAGAAAAAAGAAAGACCAGTATGTCTACACCAAGATAAGATGTAGAGCATCTAGACTAGGTGTCACATTTGTCTCCTGTATCTACCATGAGGCCAGATAACGCCTCTTGTTTGAAAATGGTTTTACCATTCATGCTTTCATATCTCGTTTTGGTTTTCATCCTCCTGTCTCAGCCTCCTAAAGTGCTGGAATTATAGAAATATGCCACCACCTGTGGATTACTTTTTATTTCCAGATTTTTTGTTTGTTTGTGTTTTGTTTTTTGAGACAGTGTCACTTTGTAGTTCAGGGTGGTCTTGAACTCTCCATATAGCACAGGCTAGCCTGGGACTCTCAGTGACCCTTCTGCCTCAGCCTCCCAGAATGCTGGGTAGGCAGGCATGCATCACCATGTCTGCACATGTGACTTCTAGATATTTTTCTATATCTTATTTTTCGATCTGCATGAGATAATCTCTAAAGTCCAGGCCAGCTCTGACATCTGGTATATTGTACTTAGCAAGAAATATTAAAGGTCTGAGGATTTAGCTCAGTGGTGCCACACCTGCCTTGCACATGCCTTGCATGGTACTGAGTTTGATCCCCCAGTACCACACACACAAAAAATAAATAAATAAAATAAAAAATAAAAAAACAAGCAAGAAATATTAAATCTGAGAAGCCTGATTCAGCACTGATTTTGCTATTCATCCTGTTCTTTTTTTGATGGCACCCTGGGAAAACCCAGCTAAAGTAACCTTTAGGGATTGGCTGTGGATTCCAATTATCCATGAGTGCTGGCATTCCATGTGTTCACCACCATGTTTATTTTGTTTATTTATTTTTTTTTTGGAGTTGTGATCTCACTATGTTGCCTAGGCTGACCTTGAACTCCTGGGCTCAAGAGTTCCCCTGCTTCAGCCTCCTGAATAGCTGGGACAATAGACCTGTGCCACTTGAGCCTGGCTTTTGAGGCTCTGGTTTTCTATCAGTGTTTGAACTGCTCCTGAATATACACTTACCTTGCTCAGGAGTACAACTGGCCTTGATGAAGTACTTGAATAACACAGGACACTATTGTTTTTCCTTTGAACTTTCCCTTTGAACTGAGAATCTGAGATCCAGGATTACCACCTTCAGACACTGACTTTTCTTCTCTGAAGCCCATCTTTTCCACCTAGGTACACTGTTCCCCAGTATCCACAGTGTAAGTAATAACAAGCATGCACTGGGCTTTTTGTATGTGTAAGGCAGTTTTAAATGTATATTCTCATTTGAATTTCAAAGCCATTTTATTAAGTAGATCCTATTATTACTCCCTGAGAATTTGAGATCATGTAATTTGACCAAGGACACAGGTATCAGAACTAGGTCTTAAATCCAGTTGTGGTAGGTAGATTATGATGCTGCTCAAAATCTTGGTTCCCAGTAATGTTTATCTACTTGTAATCAATATTTCCTTTCCCTTGAATATGACTTGCTCTTGATAAAGAGGATGCATTAGAACTGAGGGGTTGTCACCTCTGTGATTCAGCTACCAAAGTTTGTGACTTCTGTTTTGATAGTAGACTCTACTGAATTCTCAGCTCACATGCTTTCATGAAACAAGTTGCCATGTTGGAGAGGCCCACAGGATAAGGAACTGAGGCAATCAGTCCAACAGCCCTACAGGAATTGGGTCCTGCCAGCAATCACATGCGTGAGTTTGGAATTGGATTCTTCCCTAGTTAAGCTGGCACTTTGACTGCAGCTTGTGACAAAACCTGAATCAGAGGATCCAGTCAAGCTATGACCAGACTCCTGACCTACAGAAGCTGAGATTTAAAAAAAAAAGTGTTGTTTTAAGCTCCTAAATTTTAGGCTAGTGTTACATAGCAATAGGTAATTCACCAGATGAATCTAATTGGCTCCAAGTTCAGGCTCTTCATAGTTTTAGTATTGTAGGTTGCTTTTCTCACTGTCCTATCCTGTTTTCAGGTGTAAAGTGACTTCCATCCCTCATTGGATGACCCATGTATCCTCTAGAAAAGTCACTGGTTTCATAAGAGCTCTGCTTATCTCTAAACTCTCAGTCCCAGAATTCAGAAATTCACCTACTTTTTTTTTTTTAGTCACTTGCTTTTGTAGCTTAGGACAGTTGGGCCAATTAACTAGGTATTCTACCCCTCCCCCATCCCCACAGCCCATAATGCTCTTTGTCTTCTGGATCAGGCATCTCTCTTAACTAGGCTGAGTTGCTTTACTCAAAATCTTTCTCAGGGTATCACTACAAATGTAGATTGATACTGGAAAGATCAAATTTTTCCTCCTCCAGCATTCCAGCTCTAAAATTTGGAGTATTGGCCAGGCGTGGTAGTGCACACTTGTAATTCCAGCACTTGGGAAGCTGAGACAGGAAGATTACAAGTTTGAGGCCAGCCTGGTCTACATAATGAGTTCAAGCTCAGCCTGGACTACATAGTGAGACCCTATCTCAAAAAACCAAAACCCAAACCCATTTAGAGTGTCATTCTTCCATAGCACTTATTTTAGTGAGAGGAATCATGTGGTAGGTAGGTTTGCTTTTTTTTTTTTTTTTTTTTTTTGGTACCAGGAATTGAACTTACAATCTTGGGCTTTTGAGGCAGGTATGGTGCCACCGAGCTAAATCCTCAGCCCTAAGTTTGCTTTTGAGGGTAACAATTCTGTTAGCTAATCCTTTCTGGGTCTGGTAGGCAGAACTCTATGGGCCAAGAGCTTGCCAACACTGAAATCTGAACTGGGCTACCGAGGCCTAAGAAAGCACAAATACTGGTGGTACCCCAACCTAGCAGTACATTAGCATCTTCTGGGGAACTGTGAAATAGGACACCAGAGTATTACTTCAAATCAATTTGTCCTACTTTTGGGAGCAGTGGTGGTATATCTATACATCATACTATATGTATCTTGTTTTCTGATTTAGCTTTTTTCAGTTCCTCACATATGCATGTATCATCTTGTCAGAAGTCTTTTGCTTAAAATGTTTCTCCTGCTTCTTCCTTTGAAAAAACACCAAATGGAGAATGACACTGGTGCAGCAGGAGGGCCCAGAGGCCTGGGCCTGGGAAGGGGGGCATCTAGGCCTGGGAGGTCAAATTGGAGGCTTGGGCAGTGCCCTTTGAGGCCTCAAGTGCAGTAGAGGCAAGGGCTGGGGATGCAGAGCTTGCGCTGGCAAGGTGGCGAGGTGGAGGACAAGGAGTGGATTCCTGTCAACAAGCTGGGAGGGCTGGTCAAGGACATGAACATCAAGTCCCCTGTGGAAATTTATCTCTTTTTCCTGGGAACATCCCTCAAACATGAAATTCTGAAGATAATGCTGGTGCAGAAGCAAACTCATGCTGGCCAGCAGACCAGGTTCAAGGCATTTGTCACCATTGTGGACTACAACAGTCACACTGATCCGGGTATAAAGTGCTACAGGGAGGCAGCCACTGCCATCCAAGGGACCATCATCCTGGCCGAGCTCTCCATTGTTCCTTTGTGGAGAGGCTACTAGGGGAACAAGATCAACAAGCCCCACGATGTCCCTTGCAAGGTAACAGGCTGCTGTAGCTCAGCTTTGGTGCGCTGATCCCTGCCCCCAGGGGGAACTGGCAATGTTTCAGCCCCAGTGCCCAGGAAGCTGCTGCTGATGCCTGCTACACCTTTGCCAGGGGCTGCACTGTCACTTGGGGTAACTTTGCCAAGGCCTCCTTAGATGCCATCTCCAAGACCTATAGCTACCTGACCCCCTATCTCTGGAAGAAGACTGTGTTCACCAACTCTCCCTGCTAGGAATTCGCTGACCCTTTGGTACCAGGGATCAAACTTGGGACCTTGCACTCTTGAGGCAGATGGAGGAAAAACTGAGCTAAATCCCCAGCTCTTCACTGACCATCTTGTGAAAACACACACCAGAGTCTCTGACCAGAGGACTCAAGCTCCAGCAATAGCTACAACATGTGGTTTTTACACAAGAAAAAGTGAACAAAATCTGTTTTTAAATTTTTTTCTCTTCTATATCCTTCATTCAGTAAATATTTATGGTTTGATTTCTTATATTTGAGGCACTAGTTCAGACATTATTTCAATAAGCTCATTCAGTGCCACCCCCAGCTGCTAATTAAAACTTATTTTGGGCCACACCTGTAATCTCAGCATTCAGGGAGGCTGAGGCAGGAGGATCACAAGTTTGAGTCTTGCCTGGGAAATTTAGCGAGACCCGATCTGTCTCTAAATGGGATGAAGATGTACAATGGTAGAGAGTCCTGGGTTTGAACCCCCGTACCTCAAAAGACAAAGCAAACAATCCCATCCCCCCAAAAACAAAACAAACAAAAAAACCCCTTACTGTGCCCTGTAGTAAGACCTTTTAAATTATGGCAGCTACTGGTTCTGCTGTAAAGAGTAACATCTTTAAGGAAATACGACGGGAAATCTTCAGTGAAAAGACTGTTTCTAGGTGGAACTCTCACCCACATTGCGCGGCTTCTATTTGCTTCACAGGTGAGAGGAAGCCCCTCCCCCTTTAGTTTAAACCTGATTAGTGGGCGGCGCTGCATTCAGTCTCTCACGTAAGGAAAGCGGAAAGGAACTCCGCCTTCTATGTGTTCCTGAGGGGTGTTGGGGGGACTGGGCGTGAATTGATTGGCTAGGAGGCGGGGCGTCACGGCTTGGCTCCGCCCCGGCGCTCTCTAGGATCCCGGGTGGATTGACGGGTGGGATCCCTGGCGGCTCCAGACGCTTAGCTATGGCGCCGCAAGGCCGCGCCCAGTCCCCCTCTTTCCAGCAGGTACTCTGCGCTCTCTGGAGTTTTCTCACGTGGTGAGAACCCTGGCGGGTCGGAGGGAGCGACGGGACGCTGCCTGCGACGAGGACCATGAAGAGCGACCAGACCTGTGGGGCTGATAGTGGGAGCCGCCGCGGCACCTGCTGAGACAAGAGGGAGCGGCCCGGTGAGGCTCGCGCTGGCCTCGCCATGTCGCTGCTCTGCGTGCGTGGTGAGTGCACTGACCGGGTGGGGAGGCGGGGGTCGCCGACGGGTTACCACGGGATTCCAGTTAGCGTCTGGTTCCCACCGCTCCCAAACTTCGCTTCCCGTCTGTGCCATGCCATAAATTATGTTAAAAATCATTTATAAACATGTGAAGTTTTCGCACCACCCCCCCTCAGCCACCGCAAGGGACTGTTACCTCACCATTCCCGTAGCCGGTAGCCGTGTGACAGTGTTGTTGGCAAACCCAGATCCTGTAGTGACTGATTTCTCCAGAGAGAGTGGATGAGCCAGGAGAAGGCGGATGGTTTGGTGCCTCCCATTCTTCCCGCATCGTAAAACTAGTCTGCTTACTGGCAGGTTCTTTTTAATCAGTCTTTGAAGTCATTAGTGGTACAGCAGCCACAGGCTTTCTTCCAGTGTATTTCTTGGTTTGGATTTCTTTTTTGCTTGACTTGTACTGTGCTCCTTTCCTGAAGTCTGAAGTCTAGGCTAAAATTGTTCTCATATTCCACTTGGAAGGGTGTGTTGGCAAACCCTCTTTAAGAGCAGAGCATAGAGGTATGATTTACTTTATTTTAGCTTTCATCCCATAAATCAAGGTGACGGATGTTTATTGCTTTTTCTCTGAGGACCCTTTACCCCATCTAAGATGATATTTTATTTAAATTTAATTTTATTTTATCCCATTCTCCCTAACCCCACTCCTCTCCCTATGTATAAAAATTTTGGATAAAACGATACCATAAAACCAAGAGTTTTGGAGTTTAAGATGAGGTATGATGCTTGGACCAACCTCTATGTGGGTGGAGACTTTCTTTCTTTTGTTTTGTTTTTTGGTACTGGGAATTGAACTCAGGACCTTGAGCTTGCAAGGCAGGCATGGTGCCACTAAGCTAAATCCCCAGAGCAGTGGAGACTTTCTTATTAGTTTTTATAGTATTCCCAATGCTTGTCTTAGCAGAAGCTCAATGCTGGTTTTGAATGAATACAAGGACAGTGATTTTAGAGAGAATATCTAATCAGGAAAAGGAGTGTTTGGATTACTGGTTGAATTTGATCTTCAAAAATTCAGCCTCTCATATGTGTGTTGAACAAGATGGGATAAGGTGGCTTGATTGTGAGAGAGCATTTGCCCTCTACCACCTTCACTGGAAACCTTTTCCTGGCACCTTTTACTAGATAAGAGTTCATGTTTCTTTTGGCTGTATAGATAAGAAGCATTGTTGTTTGTGATCTCTCTGATAACAGTGTTTTTCCCAGCTTCTGGCAAAGGGAACTGCTTTGCCCTGTTCCCTCCCACTGTTTTGTTAAATTTGCATCAACCCAAAATGGGATTTGGTTATTTCCGGGGATTATCAGACACAGTTTTTCTTCTTTCATGGGTGATTTTTCATTAATGAGGATTTTGCTTTGGTTTTAGTAAGACATTTTCTCTCAGCAGCTGGGAGTCTATTTATTGCTTTAGATCCCTACTGTTCAGTAGCAGGATTTGGATTTTGCAGTGTCTTTTGGACAGTTTATTAATTCTCTCCTGCCACATTATATTACTGAACTAGAAAGACTGTTTAGGCAAGGAGCACTTTTATGTTTTAAAAAATTCCTATTTAACTGAATTTAAGTAATTTCAGAGAAGGACCTCTGCTGTTTTCATTTGTTTTAATATTGGTAGCTTTCATTGTCTGGAAATACTGCTGTGTGGCTCACCTCTTTCCTATTTATTTATTGTGATCCTGGGAATTGAACCCAGAGCATTAGGCATGCTAAGCATGCACTCTGCCACTGAGCTACATCCTGTATCTAATTCCCTTTTAATGTTTCATTAGTCAATTTTCTTTTCTTTTGTACTTAGGGAAATGGAGACCAACAGATCATTGTCTTTTGAATAAAGATCTGGATAATTGTAACTACTGAAACAAGCAACAAACTTTGTATGGAAGTATTCATATTAAAAGACAAAATATTTCTCCTGGGAAAACTTACCAAAATGGGTTAAAATAGACCTAAAACAACATTCCTTGCCTTAGTTTTTGACAGTAGGAATGTTGCCAACCAGTTGAGGGTTCTTTTTTCCATTCAGATAGAAGTCATGAATTGGTGAAGTACAGCTCTGCTAGAAGCCCTGATGCTGCCCTGGCACCAGTCAGTTTGGATTCTGTCGATCAACCCTGCTAGCTGCTGTTATGCATTCTGAAAGCAGCCTAGATAGTGATATTGTATAACACTAAATTTCAGTTCACCTGGGAGTAGAATCAAATAGCTTTTTTCCATAAAGTTCAGGTAACAGTTAACTGATAATGATTTAATCATTTCCAACATTTTATTTATGAAACCGTTTCCTTGGTCTCCCACCCTCAATCATGCCTTACTGCCTACAGGTTAAATGTTGTCATCAACATTCTGACTCCAGATCTCCCTTTCTGCTTTTGTTGCCTGTGTTTACACAGATAATTTGCTTCTGCACTGACTTTATTCATTCCTGCCTCTGCTTTGTTCTGCACTAATAGCTCCTGAAATTCTCTTTCCATATTTTTTCCTTATCTGAAATGTATTCTTGTTGCTGAGCACATTTATGCACACCTGTAATCTCAGCTACTTGGCCTGAGGCAGGAGAATCATCAAATTAAAAACTAGCCTTGCTAGATGTGGTGGTGCAGACCTGCAGTCCCATTTCTCCAGAGACTGAGGCCGGAAGGATTGCCATGAGTTTGAGGCCAACCTGGGCTACATCATGAGTTCAAGGCCATCCTGAATTGCATAGCGAGAACCTATCTCAAAAAAACAAAACAAAACTAGGCCAGACAATTTGGTGAGACCTTGTTTCAAATAAAAAGTGCTCAGGATGTTGCTCATTGGTAGAGTGCTTGACTAGCAGTTCCTGAGTCCAAGCCTCACTCCCCACCCACCCCCAGTGTTCATTCTTTTTCAATTGAAAATCCACCTATTTCTTTGTTGTTGTTTGTTTGTTTGTTTTTGGTACCAGGGATTGAACTCAGGACTTTGCACTTGTGAGGGAGGCAGGCGGTGGAACCACTGAGCTAAATCCCTGGCCCAGTCTACCTGTTTGTTGAACACTTCCTCAGTTCCTCAGTCCTTCCTTCTCTAAACTCTTAGAACACCTGTGATCTGAACACTGCTACTAATTTAGCAATGAATCATATTGACAGGTACTGATCTTGCATTGTTGTGCTTGTGGTGACCCAGGCAAAGGAGTCACTAGCACCAGTCAGATCAGATCTGAACTGGAATTGCGGTAAGCTGAGGTATTTCCTTGTAAGAGACACATTGAGACATAGGATTAGCTTAAGAGAAAATTTATTTTTTGAAGAGAGTAGATTAATGAAAGGTATAGATGCCCTTTGAAGAACATGGGAAGTTTAGTTGTGAGAAGGTTAAGTGAGAGAGGATCATAAATAGTGGATGAAAATAACAAAACAGCTTATACTACTGTCTTAGTTACTTTCCTGTTGCCGGGACAAAATACTTGACCATACAACCTAAAGGAGGAGAGATTTATTTTGGTTCATGGTTTCAGTCCATGTTCACCTGGCTCCAAAACAGAAAAAGGATGGCAGAAGGGCATGGCAAAGGAAAAGGTGCTCAGACCAGGAAGCAGAGAGCCAAGGGAGGTCCCTTGGAGGGAGATAGACCCTTTTTTGGTCACACCCCCAGCAACCTGACTCTTCCAACCAGGCCCACCTCATAACAGCACATTTAGCTATGAATTCATCACTGAATTAATCCACTGATCAACATATCGCCCCATTAGAGGATGTTCTAGATCTAAACCATAGCAGTCCTGTTGTTGCTGCAGAGATTAAAAGTGAGACAAATGAGGGCTGGAGATTTAGCTCAGTGCATGCCACACCTGCCTCACAAATGCAAGATCCTGAATTTGATCTCCAGTACAAAAAAAAAAAGTGAGACAACCAGACCAAGGGTTTAAAATGATAGGAGACTGGATTTTGGCTTAACATAAGGAAGAATTTGTTTGTTTGAGGCAGAGTCTCACTATGTAGTTCAGGCTGGTCTTGAATTCATGGTGATCCTCCGGCCTTAGCCTCGTGAGTGCTGGGGTTGCAGGTGTATGCCGCCCTCCCTGGCTGTAAAGAAGAACTTAAACAGTTAGGGTTGCTCTTAACAAATGTAATAGCTAGGGCCCAGTATTTAGCTTAGTGGTTCCACCCCACTGCCTCGCCAGCGCAAGGTCCTGAGTTCAATCTCCGGTACAAAAAAAAAAAAAAAAGTAATAGACAGACTACTTATGAGAATTTTTTTGACAATGTAAGCAGAGATTGAATGATGGTAAGGGTGTTCTAAAAGTGATGTGACCCACTGGTTGGGTGGTTAGGCATGCTTCTTTTATCTCTTTTTCTGTCTTTCTCTCTTCTTTTCTTTCTTTTACTTTTTTCTTTTTTTCTGGTACTGCCAGAGAATCCAGGGAGTGCTGAGTTACAGCCCCAGCCTATTTTGTTTTGTTTTCTTTTGAGAATGAGTCTTACTAAGTTTCACAAGCTGGCCTCCTCTGTTTCAGCCTCCAGAGTAGTTAGGATTACAGCATGGGCCACCTAATCTTTGACATATTTTGGCACAGCTTTGTTTATAATAATGTTATTGCAGTATTTTGCTTTCATAGGAGTCAGTACTGTATGATAACTGCAGTAAATTAAATTAGGGATTTTGTATAACTTTCATTGTCTTGGTGTTTATGACCAAGTTTCTCTAAATAAGCATTTTGAGAAGTAAGCCTTTCCATAATATTTCTTTGTAATTCTCACAGTGTTTATAACAGTGCTTATGTAATTGAGCTATGAGTTTTCTTTCCCCTAACTTGAACCAGAAGTGGCCCTGCTTGATCTGCTAAAAAGTAGTTTTGGGGACTTAAAAAATAATATATGGCTAACGATAGAAATTTGAAAAGATACAGAAAAGCATAAAAAGGAAAATACAGAAAAATCTGTATATTACTACCAGAAATCTAACAGATACCACTGTTAATTTTTTTTA